TAATAATAATAATAATTTAATAATTTGATAATTGAATAATTGTTCATTTATGATACACTTTGTTAGTAGCTTGTACCTGCGATTGTTGATCAGTTAGTATACTGTAAGAAAAATGGAAAATCTTTCAGGACATTATCCATTATCCATCATCCATTGTAACCCATGTAACCCGAAAACACAATGCGTAATTTAAAATGCAGGTAAAAAGAACATTATGTTAAATTCTTTCATATTAACAGTAGATTGTGCCTTATTTTTACAGACTTTTCTTAGAGTGTAGCATACTAACAAACTACTAATACACTGCTTAAAGCATATTAGTTGAGAATGTGTAGTACGCTATTAGCTAGTTTACTAGCTACTAAAAAAACTTAAATTGAAATCATTCAAAAATGTGTACGTTTTCAATAATTCAATGTATTTAAAAATACAGTTATTTATATTTTAATATTATATCATGCATATTATTCTACAAACAAATCTAAATTAACATATATAAAATATATTTTTTGCTGAGATTTGATGATGTGACATCACAACATCATTTAGCAACTTTTAGCAACAAATCGCCCATCCTTTAGCAACTTTCCCTGAAAATTAGTTGGCTAATCGGTTAGCCTACTGATTCTGATTCACCTCATTGTCATAATGTCCGAAATAATTGTTACTAAGTCACAACTTTTTTCCCCTAAACGCACTAATAGCCTACTTCTAATTTCTATAATAAAACATGAAACCTTTTTAAAACATGACAGAAATGAACTCTCTTTCTCTCTCTTCATCAGCTGTGGTGGTTCTAGCGTTTGTTCTCTGCTGGCTGCCGTTCCACGTCGGCCGTTATCTTTTCTCCAAGTCATCCGAGGCCAATTCTCCTCTCATCTCCCAAATCAGCGAATACTGCAACCTGGTGTCATTCGTGCTGTTTTACCTCAGCGCCGCGATCAACCCCATCCTCTACAACCTCATGTCAAAGAAGTACAGGAGCGCGGCCTGCAAACTGTTCGGAGTGAAGCGTGCTCCTGGACGATCGATGCAGAGCTTCGTGAAGGCGGAAAGTGTTTCGGTTTGGAATGAATACAGCTGGAGCACGTGACGCAGGAAAAGCCTCGTTTAATAAATGTGCACTTCTTAACAGACTACATATAGACGGGAAAAAAAATCTTCACGAGGATGTAAAGGAGAGTCGACATTAACCTCATCATTTTTTGTGATATGCATTTAATTTCAACCATCATCTGGTATCATAGAAGCCATTGCATATTTTCAGTTTAGCCTGTACATAGCAGTAAAAATAACTTTATGAAACTGCTGAGCCCTGAAAATTATATTATTAAATTATATAGTAATCTAATCTGAAATGTTGGTATTAAAATAATAATTAAAAAAAATGAATGTAGCTTTTTTGATGGTTGCATTTTAGGCGCAACATACCTTGTGCATACACCAAATATGATTGTATTTTATGAGAATGTTTACGCACAGGTATTAACATCATCAGCAGACACCAGCAGTGTAGTGTTTCCCTTTACCCTGTTATTCATGCAAACTCTACAAACTGCACACTAACCCAAAAATGCCTTAAACTGTGTGAAGTACTGGATGACAGAGCACTGTAGATGTAAGCACTCTAACACTGCACCCTATGTGGGTGAGATGTAATGGTGCTGAATGATAAAATCCAATGCCAAAAAAAGCTCTCACCAAGCTTGTGTTATTATGTTACATAAATGTGTAGCAGCCATAAAAAGTGCACTTATTGCAGGTTTGTGAACACTGCTGCCACAGTAGTTTTGTGTAAGCTTTGTGTTTGAATTCAGCCTATGTTGCTTGTTGGCAATGACATTCTAATTAAAACTATTTCTTGAGATGTTTGTAAAACACTTTTAATATTTATGAAAGATATTTAATATATTGTGTTTATTTTCCTTTAATGCACACTGTGATACATTTTATGGAATGTGTTATTGTGTAATATATATAAAGTTTTTGATGTCATGCAGTAATACTTAAATCTTAAAATTAAAATGTTTTTGTGCTATTGACTATACAGATTGTCTTGTATTTGATTCTGAAAATACATTTTAAAAAACCTCAGAGAAACTGGGTCTGTCCTTTTACAAAAAGAACAATACACACATATATATATATATATATATATATATATATATATATTCAACATTTTTATTTTGTGCCCTTTTGTAAAGGAAAAATAAAAGTATTAATTAAAATGAACGAATAAATACATTTATAAAACTTAATATAATTGATATAAATGAAATGCAAACACCTCATTTCAGAAATTAAAAAAATTTATTGTGTATAAATATATTACATATATACTACAGATACATAATCATCTTAAATACAAAGGCTAGTATTTTCAATATCTATACATTTAAATTGATACGGTAGTTTTTTAAATATAATGTCTACGATTATAATTTACATCATTAAATGTGACAGTAACGTTTAAAAAAATGGTAATATGGAATGATTTTCATGAAACTATATGCAAGCATGGAAATCTATGTCTAGGCCACTTATTACCTGATGTCCAGCTAAATGCGTCTAAAAAAAGAAAAACAAAAAAACAAAGTATTTCTTTTTTTCACTTAAAAAGATTCAGGGTCTTGAGTTCGTAAAAAGTGTTCTTCAAGTGTTTCCACTTCAAGTTTTCTAGTGTCAAGTCATTTCAAATTCTTTTAATCAGAAAACAATGGAATGTTTTTCTAAAAACTGCAGCAATACATATATCGTCTACTATATGAAGAGTAGATGATTCAAAGAAGTAAAATGAAAAATATATTTTTTTAAAATCTAAAATAAAAGAACTTAAACTTGCTGTTTGTGCAGGTGGGAAATCACAAAACTGATCAGATATCAACATTTTCTGAACCAAAGCAATTAAAAAAATAATCAGAATAAAATAAAAAAGCAACAACAATTAAAAACAGAATATAAACAATACAATTATATCTGAAATAAGACAGGTTAATGATGTTAAAATGCTGTGCTATATTCAGAAAAAAATAATAAAGATTTGTCATAATCCCCCTTATAAAAAGACACGCTACATGAGGAAAATATTGAATATGACGTTTCTGATTCTTGTAATAAATACATGAAGATTGCACTGTGATTTGCATTATAAAGTACAGAAATATAGCATAAATAAATCTAACAAAACTGTTATATCTTGAATGCTCACTAACTTTGGTTAAGGGCTGACTGAGCTAGTAAACACGATCATGTAATGTATAATGTGACCAGAGTAAAGGGTTTATGGAATACTGTAAGCAGCAGATCTGAAATGATTTGTCACAAAAGTTTGGATTTGTGGATTTCAAGGCACAGGTTCACATGGCCCTCCCAAGTCCCTGAGACACAAAAACTCCAGACTTCACAGCACTGTACATTTGATGATTGATTGCAAAGACTGTCATTTGACTCTCTTTGGACTGATAGTTGCAGGTGTTTTTTTTTTTGTACAGGCAGCCCAAGGACACCTTTTTTAGGACAAACAAAAGAGGAGAGAACGAATAAAGCCCTTAAGAAGCTTTTAGACAGACTTTCCTGGGGCACAGATAAGGGAACGAGATCATTGATGCCATTTAGCTGTCTAGACACTGATTTAAAGATAAATAGGACTGACCATTAAAAAAAAATCCTCAGATATTCATCTGATACTCCAACTTGAGATCCGGAAGGCCACTTATTACTTTAGTGTTAAAATCTCCTAAATACTAAATATAAAAATATGCACAGCATCTTAAAGTTAAAAACCAGGCACAGTACATTTCATCATTACTGATTTGTTAAAACTCTAACTCATCTTATAGAAAAACCTGTAAAAAAAATAACATGAAATCGGCTCATGTGATTGTTTTTAAAACTGTAAAAGGTGTATTTTGGTCAATGACCAAAACAGTACTTGCATTAATGGTTTTGCAAACTGTAGTTTAAAAACTGAAGAGATGAGAACGGCTCTAAATCAGAAGCTGAAGCAGGAAGGCCATCAGGACAGAGAGAGAGGCCACCCCAAATACTATGAGGCCAGCAAACTGTTCATCGCTGAGGGTTTTGCCCATGGGCACCCTGGTGATGTCCGCTTCCACAGCCAGTGTGGCGTCAGACCGCCGCAGGTTGAAGTGGGTGGATGGGCTGAAGGACCCGCACAGATCCTGGAGGGTGTCCACGCAGCGCCTGCATGCAAACACACGCACGCGGTAGTCAGTGTTCCACTGCAGGCCAGAGAGCTGGAAGGATGCCTCATCTCCCTTATACACCTGAAGGACAGAAGGAAAGTAATGCATTAGCCCAGACAGTTCAAATTTCTCCTTCACTGTGTGCACTTTTGGATAATTATAAATGTAATAATAATAATAAATTCTGTTATACATGGGGATGGAATATTTTAAATATTATTTTTATATAAAAATGTTAACACATAATAATTATATAATGTAAAATATACAAATAATTTATTACAAAATGCACACATTTTCTAGGCAGTCTATTGTATTTAAATAAATATATAAAAAATAAATTAATAAATAGTAGTAGTATTATTTATTTAAACAAAATAGATTTAATTATATGTATGCATTTGGGTTTATTGTAATAAATTTCGTATATATTATATTTGTATATTTATTATATATTAGCATTTTTATATATCAACAACAACAATTATTTATATTTATTTTTTGTATACATTTTTTATATTTATATTTATTATTATTATTATTATACAGCATGACTGAGACGGAATATAAAAATGCATTTATACAAAAAATAAATATAAATAAATTCACTATATGTTTGTTTTATCATGATTGTTATGATTAAAAAAACTAAAATTATGTATTACTAAATAAATGCAGATGTGTAGATGTAAATAATTAAATCTATTCTAAATCAATTAATGAATTAATTAATTTAATTTTAAAAAAAGAAAGAAAGAAAGGAAGGAATGACGGAATAAGAATGGAAGTAACGAGATCTGTAAATAATAAATATTTATATTCTATCCCTAGTAATAGAAAATAATTTAACAATAAATATATTGATTTGGGTAGCTACAGTAAATGAACAAATAAAGAATGAACCACAGGGCACTTGATTATTGTAAAAAACATTTTAAAACACAAAAACAAACTTTAAAATACATAATGTCTTGTTTTTTCTTTTAAATTTGGGGTGAAATATAACCTGGATATTTCTATGTGAGAGTCACCCAATGATATTCATAAAAAAAGGGCAGAGGATGTGATGGGGAAAGGAGCGTTTTCTCATTTTAATGAATAAATAAATTCACACAATTTCAAATTTTGCGAACTTCCATTCGAGTTATCGCATCATGGAAGTGGCGTACCAGAAATTATTTCAAAACAATAAGCATTTGCACACCTGAATGGACCCTAATCGTGATAATCACGTTCCCCTCTTTCTGTGTCCTTTCCAACTCCACAACTGAATGAATCCTGTGAGACTGTGTGTTTGGAAGCACTCGATTTCATTCAAATGCTGATTGTGACGAGTTAAGACAGATAAAAATGGAACGAAGAGCAAATGATGCAAATAGCTTGAGCCCGTTTTCCATTTCCTGTTCAGAATGAATTCTATTCATCAACAGCTCATCTGCTGCGACTGTGGCCATATGTAAATCTAACATGGAAAAAGATGGTATTTCTTCCGTGCAACAAAATGAAAATACCACATGACATTCTTATCTCAACCATTTAAACAAACTGTTCCAACAAGCCAAACAATTTGAGTGGAACAGTCGTTTTAAACTCGATTCAAAGGAGGTTTAATGAGGAGTTTGGATCTTACCTGTTTATAATCAGAATCTCTGCCTCCCAGCACCTGTAGCACATAGCTGATTCTGTCTCCTCTCATTGGTGGAATACTCTCCCATGTGACCTCACAGGCATTTCCCTCTAACTGAACAACTCTTGGGGCTGAGAGGACAAAAAAAAGGGTCCGTTTTTTTTCTTGTTCTTTACACTAGTTTTGCATTTATTGATTAAAAATACAGTAAAAACTGTAAAATTGTGAATTATTATTACAATTTAAAATAACTGTTTTCTG